CAGCTGGAGGACACACACACACACACACACACACACACAGAATAACTTAATAATAAATGTCTTCAGTCTCAGTTCATCTCTGCAGGAGACCCTGAACACATCTGGCTGTAAACACACAGTCGGCTTTCTGTGTCTAAACTACGGGCTGAAAAACTCACAAGCTTTCATTATTTAATTGTCTTTTTAAAACGTATTTTACGTTGAATGCTTTTCTATTTCCGACTGCTGATTGGATGAAATAAGACATGTGTGGACATTATCTCAGATTCTGGGAACATTATTTACTTTTTCACAATTTCAAATCACAAAATAAATACAGTGCTTAACAAACGTATTAGACCACCTGTCTTAATTTGTTAGACACTATATTTGGACCATCCAGCATCATGAAGTGCTTTAATTCACACTCAGCTCTCTGTGTTTTACCGTTTTAAACAGGAATGATGAATTTTAAATTAAACTTTTTATACCTGAACTTGAGCCGGCTCACTGGGCCTCTCTGAGAGTCAGAAATGAATCAAGTGTAACATTCAGCCACTTAAACTAATGTTTCTGTTCAGGACTGCAAGTAAATAACTATAATCTGACATCTTAATCTAGAAATAATAATGTGCTTTACTATTCTTGCTGTTTTTCTGTGAAACAGCAACTTTAAAGTTTCATGGATAACAATCATAATTAGATTATAGCATTGAAAATATAATTTCAGTCAAAGAGCTTCTACATACTGGTGTCTTAACCATTACAGAAATGTAAGAAATGATTTTGGTCATTACCAGTGCTGTTCATTTAAGGCAGCTGTGGCATAAACCTGACACTTGGTGGTGGGCTAATATGTTTGTTAAGCGCTGTACATATATGTTTTAATCCTTGTTACAGCCTCGACTGATTGCTGTCAGTCAAACAAGAGTAAAAATATTTTATTTCCTGTGGAAGTCAATGAGGATCAATCATTCAAGCACTCCTCCTCTCTAAACTCTTGGTCACTCTGTCCTGAAGTCTTCCTTATAGCTGCATCAACATTCAGCAGGAAGCTTCTTCATACATGAACGTGTTGAAGTGTTGCTGTCAGTTCAAGTTCTCCTGAACCTAAGGAGGAAAAAGGACCACTTAAGAAGCCTTTTTTTCCTGTTTTATTCAAAACAAAATGTTNAGAAGCCTTTTTTTCCTGTTTTATTCAAAACAAAATGTTTGTTTTTCCATTTAAATGTCTGGAAGAATTCAGAATAAATCTGTCAAATCATATTTTTGATGTTTTAGTGATCTGATAAACGGGATTATTTTATTTTATCAGTCCTTGAATTAAATTAAAAATCCCTTTGTGACAGACTGTTGTCATAAGAAATAAAACAACGATGAAACTTGTGATTTACACTTCTAGAAATGTTTGCTCTTTATTATTTAAAAACCAGACAACACAAGCAAGTCCTCATCGTTCTGAGACAGAGACCAGAAAGCGTTGATGAAAAAATGAATTTTCTGTCTGTTGACGAACTTATTGGTTGAACTGTTCCAACGCTTGTCCCAGACATCACCTCATGGCGTTAAATTGCACTATTTTGTCTTTTTTGAAAAACAAATATTCTGATATTTCTGCAGAGAGTTCTTTATTCGGACCATTTGAGCCGCCTCGTTAAAACTAATTTCCACGGCGTAGAGGAGAAAATAATGAAAACGAAATACAAACATGAAGACTTTTAAAGCTTCGGGGGCTTAACTCAACTTATAAAAGCCGGATTTTTTTCCACTTTAAAGCGAAGACTGATGCACTTAAGGCGAGCTTGAGTCTTTTAAACACTGTGGAAATGAACTCTTCACACAGACTCGGAGGTTTGTTTTACGGCCTCCATCTGGTTTTTATTGCTCACATTTATACCATCTATACATTCGCAGCCTGTTTGATTCAGCCTCTCTGGCTCACTTCAGACACTTTGAACATCCTGCCAGAGGCCTGACATCATCATCATTATCATCATCATCATCATCAGAAGCAGCCTGTTTGGATGAAGAACCTGCTCTTAAATCCAGTTCGAGGGCTGCAGCTCCAAGTTCAGCTTCTATATCATCACAGAGCAGGTTTGAAAAGGAGGATTTATTTCTTACTGCGGTCATCTGCGCTTTTAAAAATTCAAACAATGGGCCCGTTTTATCTGGTTTCAAGAACCGAAGAGGCTTTAAAATGAGATGCGGTGACTATAAAGGAGAGAAGACTTTGTCCAGAGGCTGTAAAAAGCAGCTGTTTGGGACGGAGCACTTGGCTGTTCTGTCTCACTTTAGTTTCAGGTGCGATGCTTAAAAGTGTGATGAAATAACAAGTAAATCAAAGCATCCACGCTTCCAGAACTGTGTTACCTTCAAGGAACGTCACAGGAGAAGTTGGATAATATGAGGACGAAATGGAATGAAGAGAAAATGATTTTGTGTTCAACATTAAATAACCTGGATCATGTTTCATCTCAAAATCAAACACCTATTATAGATCATGTTTTAAAATCTTAATAATCAAATTCCAGACTTTTTTTAAAATCAGATAGAAGCCATTTAAAATACTATCATGTATTAGTGTGAGAGTGTCCCACTGAGGACCACAGCAGCCTATCGGTGCTACAGATTAATACCTTCACTCATTGCCTCACTCAGTTGAAGAACCTTCACATCAGTCATGTGACTCAGCCGCTCAGGTACTGACCTGTATGAGTGTGGATGAAGCCATAGTTGGAGACGGAGCCACAACAAACCTCAGCTTGTCCGGCTTGTCGGGGTCAATGTCCACCATCACCTCCCTCCAGCCTTTTTGTGTCCTCTAACAAAACAGACGATTAAACTCAGACGGGCCGTTGTGTTTGAAACACCTGAGAATCTGATGCTTCTCCAGAAATTAATGAACAAAGAAATCTTCCTGTCGCACAAAGATGCAGAGTCATGAGTGTTCATTCTGCTGCTGTCTGATGTTGAACCTAGAATGTTTAGAATCAATTAACCTCAACATGTTTTTGGACTGTGTGGGAGGGAGCTGGAGAACCCGGAGAGAACCCACACTGCACGGGGAGAACATGCAAACTCCACGCAGAGAGATCCCGGGTGTCCTCACCGGGACACGAACCGGCGATTTTCTTGGAAATTTGTACCCAATTCAAATATAAAGTTACATCAGTAAGATGTTGTTCAAACTCACTGCTCAGAACTGCAGACCGAAACTACAAATACATCTACAGCCTCTAAATACTAAGCTGACATTATTTAATTTAACTTTGGCGCCATCTGGTGGTTGCATCAATACTGACTGGTGGGGAACAGAAAGGGGCACAGAGGGGCTCTTTACAAACAAAAAACATAGAAAAAAATTACACAAAAAATTCACATAGTGGTTTAAAACCTCACCTGGAATTTGTGGATGGGCAGAGCGTCAAAGAACTCATGAGCAACACAGATGCTGAATCCTGGAAGAAGATAGAAGCGCATCGTGAGACAGTTACTTCCTGTCACTGTTTTGTGTTCTTTCCTGTATCTGTACTGCTGCAACAAGTGAGTTTCCTCATTGGTGGTGAAAAATAAAGTGCAGTCTAATCTAATCTAAGTCAAAACAAAATGTAAAAATGAAAAATACTAACTATAGATAGTTTTACAGTCTGATTAAATGGAATTAAACCTCATGCAAAGACTAAAACCAACACTGAATGTATTCTAAGGATTGTGTATCAAGCCTGAATCTTCTTATTCCTCTGTGACAAAAACACTCACAAAAGCACCAAGTGTGGATTAACACTGAACATGTCCTCAACAAAAGCACTGTTTCCGCCCTATTTGCTTGCTAAATATTACACTTATTACATTGTTGCTTTGTGACCTTCTGAGCCTTTTTCAGAAATGAAAACACGTTTGTGAATCACTTTCAAGCTTTACGTCTGCAGTAGATATGAATGGGTTTAGAGCTGAGAGCTGCAGGCAGCGTAGAGCAGCCACAAACACTTTGAGAGAAAAACTCTGATTTTGATCTTTTCATGGCTTTTGTTGACAAAAAAAGACAGATTTTTGCGAATGTCATCCTTGAGCAGAGTCTAGCAGTCTGTATAATGGTTGCAATAGTCGTCTCTGTCAGATTGTTTGTCCTGAACTGTTCCATGTATAAACAGTCAGACCACAACCTGCAGCCTGCTGGGTCTCTGACCTACAGCTGCCTCCTGCTGCTGCTCTACCTGCTGGGACGTCGTCTAGGCGACGGTACCAGAACACCGGCAGTCCGGCTGCAGTCGTTCCTCTGCGATAAACCAGCTCATCCTCGCTGACGGCCTCCTGGCTGCAGTCTCTGGTGAGATTCTGGGCCTGAATCAGACTCAGAGCCGGACTCACCTCCACCAGATGGAGCGACACCGAGGTCTCCCCCAGAACCGAGCGCAGCTGACTGAACACCTGGAGAGGAAATACAACGATCTGTCACGACAGGTGAAGTGTCACAGCTGTAATAATTAAAGAGAACTGAGACGTACTCTGAGGACGTCACTGGCCAGCGATCCTTTCCCAGGTCCGAGTTCGACCAGCTGCAGCTGTTTGGGTCGACCCGCTCCCATCCACTCACTGATGATCCAAACGCCGAGCAGCTGGAGGAAGCACAACATGTCTGAACCCATCAACACACAGCAACAGGAGACAATTTTCTGAGCTTACCGAGTTAAATCATCGTGTTTTCAACCTCACTTACCAGGTTTCTCCTTTTCTGAACCTCACCAGACTTTAAACAGGAAGACTAAAGGCTGCAGTCCATTAAACTGAGCTCAACTGAGGGTAAAGCTTATTCATCAGTAATCAGTTAGTCGTGCTAGTTAGGATTGTTCTTAGCTAGTCAGTTATTTGTAGCCAACACACAGCGGCAGAAAGTCTATTTAACCAAATACTGATCAAGTGCATTTTAAGATATCTGAACCTGAGTATTATGTTTTCATGCTATTTCTACCACACGTCAGAGTGAATTCTTACTTGTTACTCAATAACACTAAATGATGAATTTTCACATCTTTTAAACTAAAGAAAACTATATTTCAGGGTCTTCATCTCCAGGATTTTTGTGCCTCCTTGGAATATTTTTAATGAATTTAAGACACAGCCAACAACAGAGGGACAAACAGTCTGTTCAAAATGCTGTTAAACTGAAGTACGTGTGCGTGTTGGAGGTTGACTGGATGCTTCGTGTAACATAAAACGGTCTTTTCATTTTTCCAGCCTCACCTCTCCGAAAATCTGGCTGATTTCTGGTGATGTGATAAAATCTCCGTCAGGACCCAGCATGTTGTTCCTCACATAATAACCCTGAAACAACACAAATCAGTTTGAGTTAAGAGAGGTTAAAGACAAAGAACAAAGAAATATCCATCAACCAGACTCCAATTATTTGATTTGTTTAATTATTTATGCCAAACATAAATGTCAAAGACTTCCTGGTTCTGGCTTCTGAAGTGTCAGAAATTCTTTTTTATTTGTTTTTTTAATATGAATATGTGCCTTTGATACACAGAGATGAGGTTTTAGGGCCACTCCTGGGTAGAAACTCTGATGGATATTCATGTTGGTTATGTTTTCTCAGTTTCTGGTGCAATTAATTACAAATTGTAAAAGAGTTTCTTGGAAACATTCCTGCAATGTATAGCTAAACACCTGCTACTTTTTAAGGCATTATGAGGAAAGTATCTAGCTGAAAAATACAAAACCTATAGAGGTCAGACTACATTTGAGACTAAATTATGTAATTCAGCTGCAGCTCAGAGCTCTATCAGTCTTATAGTCAGACATTTCAGCTCGAGGCAGTGTTCAGGCGGTGTGACAGATTTCATACCGCCACAGGGTTGGTGAGCACCTCCCTCATGTACTCGGCCACCGTAATCGGACCTGTGGCTTTTAATTTGGAAGTCAGGTGTCGCAGCAAGGAGGGTTGGGACTTCCTCTCGTCTGGTGGAGAGCTGCAGAGGAATCTGGACTGAGCTGCTCGCCATCGCACTGTTGAATACAGACATTAAAGCAAAATGTATTAAATAACAACTATGTGGATGAGATGAACAGGAATGAAAATCACATGTTCTGAGTTACTTTTTTCTCTTAATTTGAAATCATTCTCCAAATGTATTGTTGGATTTACAATAGAGCTGTAACGATTAATCAGTTAGTTGTCAACTACTAAGTTCATCGCCAACAATTTTGATAACTGATGAAAAATTTTCCGCTTCTCAGATGTTAATATTTTCTAGTTTCTGTCGTCCTCCTTTGAAAAAACAGTGATTGACATTTTCACCATTTGCTTACATTTTACAGACCAAACAACTATTTAATTAATTGAGAAAAAAACGGCAGATTAATCAACAAAACAAAAAAAAAAATGCTAGATTCGCACATTTACACTCATAACATGAAATTAAGTGTTTTGATCATTGTACAATTCAGGACACACAATCAAATTTAAAAAGAAAAAACGTCCATATTTACAACAAATGTCTCATTAAGGCTAAGTTTAACTTAAGCTAACTTATGTTAAGACTAAGTTTAACTTAACCTAACTTAAATGCTGTCTCTGGTGCAATGAACTGTATTTACATTGATTTAACATACACTATGTACAAACTGCTTTGATTGTCATGTTATATAGTTTGATCACATAGTTCAGATCCTACAACTTTCAGTGTTTTACTAAAAGAATGACTTGATTAATCAATCATGAGTAAATAATATGAAATACAAGAGCAAAAAAAGGAAGACGAGCAACAAAAAAGGCAGTTAAAGTAAAATAAAACCTTGAAATATGTCTAAAAAATTAGCAATATCCCAGAAAAACATGAAGACATTACGCTATCCAAAGGTCAAAGTGTGACTAATGAATGAATGAATGTGTGCAGGGATGTTACTGTGATACTTTGACAGTTTCAGCACCGGTTTGCTGTTAATCCATTGAACTACACTGAATCATCAAAGCTGCTCTCACCTGCTGCTGATGGACTGAAGACTCTGCTGACCAGCTGCTGGGTTTTAACACAAACAAATGTCCTCATTCTGCCGTGAATCACACAAAACTGTCATTTATTATGAGTGGCTGCGTCTCATGTGATTTAACTTTAACTTCAGACACATGGATCAACTCTGCTCCCTGACAGGACACATGCTAGCAGGTTAGCATTAGCTGCGTTAGCTACAAGCACGTGAACGGGAAGTTAGTGACAAAACTGCTCTCAGAGATGATGTTTTAGCTCCGGGTATAAAAGATAAACATGGACATGTGATCATTTGTGTCTGTCTGTCCTTTCAAGAGGCCAAAAGCTTCAACGTCCTTGTGGATAAGCGCTAACAGAGTGGTGAGCGTTAAGTTAGCCGCAATGACGAATATGACATCCTGCTAACCCTTCACAATAAAACACCAGTTTGACTTGTTAGTCAATTTAAATGAATATAATCGTTGTCTAAGTTAATTTAACACAAATCTCAATCAGTCTGATTTTTTTTTTTTTTTTTTTTTTTGTGGATTAAATTATCAGTAAGTCAAATGAGGACTGTATACGCCAGACTCTGTAGCAAAGAGCAGAAAACAGATAAAACTTTAAAATACCCACAAAAACAGAAAGGAGACAAAATGACGATAATTTAAAGTGTAAATCAAAAGATTTTTTTTTTTTTTTAAACTCAGGTTAACAGCTTAATTTAGGTACATGTATCAGGCTTTTTTTTTTTCAACAGACAGATTCTGAATAGTCTCATAACGTGTAAATCTTTAGTAAATTAGTGGTTGTATAAAATATGAGCTTATTTCTGATCATATAACGTTCTTTCTTTGTTCTCTGAGTACATTAAGCCATGTCTTTCCTCCTTATTGTCACATCACGTTGAAAGACATATTTGTTGCCTTGAGTCTCAGAGAAACTTAACACATGGAGGTGACAACAAACCTTCTGATTGGACGAAGGGCGGTTACGTATTTAGAGAAAGAAATGTGATTGGTTTATAAAGTTCTGAGTTCTTGTCTGCTTTTTAAAACTGGACACGACTGACATAAAACCAAAAATTACATTTTATGTGGTATTTATTATTACCATTTATTTAATAACACAATAAACAATAGAAATATCTGAAACAAAATAAAATAAAACGAAAAAGTTTGAAACAGCGTTGCCAGATTGAGCAGAAATCCTCCCTAATCGACTGCGCGTTCATAAACTTAGGACGTAAAAATTGATCTGTGTCAAGAGTGGAGATCGTAACTCTGTCAAATATAAAGTACAGACATAAACAGTTTTTTTTCTTTAGATTAAGTGCGATTTACACTTCATCTACGATGTCAGTCACAAACAAACCTTTATATACAGAAATCAGAAAGTACACATTGGCCCAGAACTCGCATAAGAATTATCATGTTTTTAAGATTTCCTCAGTATCAAAGTAAATAATTAATAGTTTCCTGGACATATAATAGTTCATATCAAACAGTAACTGCAAATAGAGAATTCGGCTTGCTTAGTTTGTGAAAAAAAAAGTCTGTGATTTTACTTTTACCACTCTTGGATTGAATTTGGTCAGTCTTTAAATCTGGCAACCCTGCTACGGAAGCGTCTTCTTCTCCTTCCGGGTCACGTCTCCTCACGCTGTGGCAGCATGGCGGCGAAAAACAAGCACCGCAAGAAGTCCAAAAAGACGAATGAAGTGACATTTCAGGCTGAAGACAACGAACCGGAGGCAGAAAACGGCGGCGGCGGAGAGGAAGATGAAGATTTAGGAGGAGGTGAAGGGCAAGGCAAAGCGAATGGAGATGACGAGGAGTTCAGTCTGGAGGAGGTTTTACGGCTCGGAGGGACGCGGGTGAGTTTACTGGATAAAACCTGTCCTCCTTCACCTTTAACTCAACCACTTAAAGGTTACTTTATATTTAATATAGATATAGTGTAGTGTAGAAAACAGTAGACGTGGTCATTTAAGTGTTACCTGTTGTATATTTACAGTGACAGTTGATAGCAGTTTTTGAGAGATAAAAACAAGAACGTGTTTACATGAGAAAGAAATGCCACTAAAAACGGTTGGGAGTAAGTTTGTTATTCTGCTGCAGAGATGGAAGTTCATCATGAAGCTTGCTGCTGCTGCTGCTGTGTTTATACGCAATGAATGTGCTTCATTCAGCTGTCTGACTATCACTATTATTTAGATTTACAGGCTTAAATTACTTCATGTATTCATTTCATTGACAATGGAGAACAATGAAGACACTTGTTGCACTATGTGGCAGAGTAGGAGAGTCTGGTGTTAAAAAGGCCCCTTATAAACCTTCTAATCTAATCCTTTCTTACATTTTTTTTGTCTCTTCCATCTGTAGGCTGATTTCGTCTTCCTCGCCGGGCTGAACGACACTCAGGAGCTCGTCGATGGAGGGAAGAAAGGAGCGATAGACGACCTGGAGGAGGGCGAGCTGCAGCAATTCATCACCAAGCTGGGCATCCAGGCGTACAGCGGACAGCAGATTGTCACAGATGAGCCAGAGAGCAGTGCTGCTGCTGCTGCTGCTGCTGGTGGTGAGAAGGAAAGTAAAAAAGCCAAAGCTAAGAAAGTCTCAGCAGAGGAACAGTCAACCAGCGCTCAGCCAAAAGTCAGCGAACAGAAGAAGACAGAACAGAAGACGACAAAAGACGTTCAGGTATCAGCTAAGAAAAAGATAAAGCTGAATACGAACGTGTTTGAGTTTCAGCAGAGGCAGGTCCTGCTGATCAAGCCGGGGGGGAAATGGTTCGAGCTGGAATACTCAGCTGAGGGTTCGTCAGAGCTGCAGGATTCGTCTCTGGTCTCACAGTACAAGACGCTCGCCGAGCAGCTGTTTGAGGCTGAAGTCAACATCTACAAGAGCAAGAAGAGCCTCCAGAAAGGAGCCAACTCCACCTGGATGAAGACGGTCGTCTCCTCTGGTGTGCTGGCAGACAGGATGGCAGCCATGACGGTTCTGATCCAGGACGCTCCGGTGCACATGCTGGAGCACGTGGAGAACCTGGTGTCCATGGTGAAGAAGAAGGGCAGCCGGCGGATGGGTCTGATGGCAATGGACACGCTGCGAGAGCTGCTGCTGTCCAGTCTGCTGCCAGAGAACAGGAAGCTCCGCACCTTCGCCCAGCATCCGTTTGACGAGCTGGAGGAGAAGGCCAGCGGCAACCGCGACGCCCGTGACCGCCGCCTCATCCTCTGGTACTTTGAGCACCAGCTGAAGCACCACGTGGCCGAGTTTGTGGTGGCTCTGGACTCGATGGCTCACGACACGGTGGCGGCCACCAAGGCGAAGGCGCTGGCCACCGCCCATGAGCTGCTGTGCAGCCGTCCAGAGCAGGAGAAGGCGCTGCTCATCCAGGTGGTCAACAAACTAGGAGACCCCGAGTACAAGACGGCGGCCAAAGCGTCGTACCTGCTGGAGACGCTGCTGCACAAACACCCCAACATGAAGGTGGTGGTGTGCTGCGAGGTGGAGCGGCTCATGTTCAGGCCCAACATCAGTCCCAAGGCGCAGTACTACGCCATCTGCTTCCTCAGCCAGGTGATGCTGAGCCACGACGAGACCGAGCTCGCCACCAAGCTCATCACAGTCTACTTCTCGTTCTTCCGGGCTTGCGTCAAGAAGAAGGACATCGAGTCAAAGATGCTGAGCGCGCTGCTGTCGGGGGTGAACAGAGCGTATCCCTACGCCAGCGCCGTGGACGACAAGGTGAAGGAGCAGCTGGACACGCTGTTCAAAGTGGTTCACCTGGTGAAGTTCAACACGGCCGTGCAGGCGCTCATGCTGCTGTTCCAGGTGATGGACTCCCAGCAGAGCGTGTCAGACCGATACTACGTGACTCTGTACAGGTAAAGGACCCCTCACCTGTTGGGTCAGACCATTCCATTTAGTACTACATGCTATTGCAGAGATTGTTAAATGAGGATGAACAGTGCAAATATACACAAAACTACTGATGTTTGTCCTTTGAAGTGTGATGACTCTACGTAGAGGAGTGAGGTATCAGGTTGATACACATTAGCCTCTCTAGTGTCCCAAAGATATTTAGTTAAATTTAGTGTATAGGATGATGCACAACACAGGCAGAACATTTAATTTGTGCTTTAAATGATTCATGTAAACATCCTGCTGTCTAAATGAAGATGAAAAAAAAAGCTGGTGAAGAACGTGTGTTTGTGTTAAACTGATGTGAGATGAAGAAATGAGTTGTCCCCCGTCTCTGTAGGAAGCTGCTGGACCCCGGACTGTCGTCATCCTCCAGACAGAACATGTTCCTCAACCTGCTCTACAAATCTCTGAAGGCCGACGTCGCGCTGCGGCGGGTCAAAGCCTTCGTGAAGCGGCTCCTGCAGGTCAGCGCCGAGCAGAACGCCAGCTTCGCCTGCGGAGCGTTGTTCCTGGTGTCAGAGGTCATGAAGTCCAAGCCGGGCCTCAAGATCCTGCTGCAGGAGGAAAAGGTGAGAGAGCTGCATCAGAATGTCAATCTGAGACTTCTAATTACAGCACAAACGCATTTCTATGTGGTTATACATACACGATTAGGATTGTTTTATATTACGAAAAAAATCTTAGAAATTGTTCATAATTATTTTTTTGTCATCTTTTTCTGTTTTTTCTGTTCCTTCCAAAAAGCCAGTGGATTAATTCAAATGTATTTTTAAATATAGACTGTTTCTAGAGTGTCTTTCTAACTCATCTCCCTGCTTTGTCCAATCAGGAGGGAGAGGAGGAGGAGTTCAAAGACCTCGCTGAAGTCAATGAAGATGGAGACGATGAAGAAGAACGCTTTGTGGACGCCGACAAACTGGAGGAAGGAGCAAGTACCGAGACACAGGAGGCCAAACCCACGGCATCATGGGTCCATCACCAGAACCTGGAAGGTCCGCAGGCCGCTCTCATCAATATCGGACTGTTCTGTGTTGCAGATGTTTCTTTTGTCAGAGTAACATAAATATTTGTAGAAAGAACTTCTCTCTTTTTGAACTGTAAATTCATAATTGTCAGAAACCAAAAAACAACATTGTTGAATTTCATATCTTTTCTTGGCTCCTTACAGATTTCACATGTTGTCTCTGTTTTAAAACTAATCTTGAAAATGTTAAGATAAATATCAGATATAACATGATTACTAGATGAGCAATACAATGCAGATTATGCATCACATCATCTTGAAGAAATACAGTTTTAGAAGCATTTAAAATTCTGTGTGGCTCATCATTTATTCTGGGATAATAAACAGCAGATGTTCTTTTATCCAGTTTTCGTACTAACTCATGTTTTATCTTTGCAGGCGGGAGAACCCTGCAGAGCTACGACCCGCTGCACAGAAACCCGCTGTTCTGTGGCGCCGATCACTCGACTTTATGGGAGCTGCAGAGGGTGAGACACAACAAACAAACACATTAACACAAAGACGGTGACGCATCAACGACGCTGCCAGTTTATCAGCTAAAACTTCTGCAATTTAAAACCCCATCATTAATATAACAGGAGATAAACTATTCTCTGTCATCACTGAAAGACTGTAGTTCTGGA